ATTAAACTAAATATTTTTTTTTGTACTTTAATAGTTATTGTCAAAACTCAGAAATGAATGTTTTTTATACTTTCTCATCTTTCGACGTATAAGTGTTATAAATCACTTGTATATACACGATTTTTGCTAAAATTAAATTAGGTTTTTCACTGTTTTAACAATGTATACACAGCTATTATACAAACACTAAGTTATGTTTAAAAAAAGTAATTATGGATGATACATCATAGTTTGAAACATAATTTTTTTAACAACAAATATTCAAGATAATTACAAAATCTAATGCTTGTTTTTTGTATTTACAGAATACTGTAAGGCTTATCGAAAATACTCGAGTTATAAACAATGTGCCAACAGAAGATGTTATCATTGCGGACTGTGGTGGTGAAAAATTAAATAAAACGATTCCGATCAAGGAAAAGGCAGCTAATAAATAAACCTATCGTTAACTTACATTGATTTTTTTTAAGACACATAACTTCTCCCTATTTTTGATGAATTTTAAAAATTACCCAGAAAATTGTTGAAACACATGGTTAAAATTTTAAAAAATTTAAAAAGTTTCTGTTCTTGAATAAAAACTCTTACAAAAAAGGTTTGCAGTTGTTACCAGTGAGTTTATTTTTTACATGTACAGGCTGTTAGTTCTATTGGTGTGGTGGATAATTTTTTAACCAACTTGATAGAATTAAAAAAAAAAGAGAAAAGTTTGTTTTCCTACTGATTCGGCGATTCTCATCAGGAGGTAAATGCAAGTCGAGTATTATCTATGCAAGCCATCAATCATAATTTCATCTATCCTGTAGTGCGATTCCGACTCCAATAACTTTTCCTCTCCGCTCTTTTTGGAAAGCAGAAATCAATGCACCATCATCCTGTACAGTTGTTGTCTTTGAATGGGATTGGATAAGTTTATCTGTATCCTCAGTGATTACTACAAACCCAAGATTTTTTTGTACAACGACATATACGAGTATCTATCCGTCATAAAATTTTCTTCTTGTAAAAAAGGCAATTTTTAAGTGACAAGTGTTGTCAGAAGGTTGAATGGAGCCATCAAACATATCAGGCTCCACATGCGCATAGCCCTCAAGGTCATACTTACAGGTCTTTGGTTACACTCACAAGCCCCTGTTAGGTGGTACCATCTTGGCCACAACGTTTTTGTCTATGTGGATGACGAACACCGCGGCCACTGCCATGATGGNGTCAGAAGGTTGAATGGAGCCATCAAACATATCAGGCTCCACATGCGCATAGCCCTCAAGGTCATACTTACAGGTCTTTGGTTACACTCACAAGCCCCTGTTAGGTGGTACCATCTTGGCCACAACGTTTTTGTCTATGTGGATGACGAACACCGCGGCCACTGCCATGATGGTGCCCATCGTATTAACGATGCTGAGTGAGCTCGAAAGGGTACGTATAATGTTTTTAGTTATATCTTTAATACGTAAGCAAAACAAGTGCCGCTATTGTTGCTCCGTAGCAATTTTCTTCTGCTTCGGTACCACGCATTTCTGCAAACCTTGCCACGATGATTTTCAGAGGGTCACCCATATCCCTAAAAACGAATTGCCTTCGTGCCCGGCAGGTACATTATTTTTCTCAGTTGTAAATATTTTCACACATATTAAATCTGATTTTTTACGTATTTTTGCAGGACCTCGAGCAAAACAACTGGGTGGAGAGGAGTGTCCGTTGTACGTTAAACACCCGCCGACTGGAGAAGAGTTCGCTCTTGGTTGCGGCATTTGTCGCAATGCGCAGACTTTTTAAGAAGTGGGGTGCCAACAAAATACTTTTACCGAAAGCATGGGAGAGTTAAAACTTTGTATTTTGCTTTTTTAATGCAAGACTTACTGCTATGACAAAAAATTACTCAATGAAGACGAGTTAATGTGAATGGAATTGAGATTACGAATCGTACCGTACGTTGAAAAACTGTGTATTAATAAATTATCGATAAATATAATTATGAACAAAAGTGCTAACATCGGGGCTATAATGGTCGCTGAGAAATAGATCCATTTTTTATAGAGTAAGTGAATAGGAAGATGATTTATACGAGCGCGGGTGTCTACTAGTGAGGAGAAAGTGATGTTTATACAAAGTCATTAGGTATAAATTAATAGTCTTGTATTAAAGTAAATTGAATTGCCTTTTGTCGATGATACAGGGAGAAGGTGTATTAAAAATGTAAAAATAAACCATGTGCTTATTAAGAGACACGAACGATTGTGTGAATGTAGGTAATTATACATAATGATGAAAAAGGAAGCAATGAAATTTACATGTGCGTGTTTGTTAGTGCCAGTTTTGATCTCGCTATTTGCATTTTTTCGTCGTTTCTGTGTTTATTTATTATATAGATAATAAGACAATTAAAAAAAAAGTCTCTCATTTGAATAAAACTTTATGCAGTCCAAACTTAAAAATAGTTCTGTGTAGTGTAGTGTAGCAATGATACATACGTTTTTCAGCTATAAAGCTACATTAAATGTTTTTGGCTGACGGATACGCGAAACACGTGTAATTCAAAATCTTGAAAGATTCATTATCCAATAAAACAGAATTAACAACAATAACACATTTTGAACTGTTTTCCAACATCACAAAATGTATAGGGGGGAGGGGAGATTGAAATATCTCAGTGGCTAGTCTAATCTAATTTTAAAAGCTGAAAATTAAATTTTTGTACTGGTCAGATCAATTGTTTTTGTATGAAAATGCGGTGTACTCATCGCTGGCAATGTTGTTTATATCGATTGAATACATTTTCTCAATATTAATTTGAAGTTCAACTATTTTCCAGCGATTATTAATGACATAACTTTGCGTTTATTAATTGCCTCGAAAAATTCTAGTTAATGTCCTTGAAATATTGAGTTATGTTTTTATAGTGACTAGTACAGCATACTGAAAGTTAAGTGGATAGTTATGGAAACTGCTCGATCTTCAATTTTTGAATAAACAATTTGACATTTTATAGCAATATCATGTATACGTATCGTAATGCACATAAGAAACCATCAAAGTTTATAAGAAGTCTTATCTACGAAAATTTGGTTTCTCTTTTATTTTGCACTTCTTGAATAAATAAATAAAAAAAAAAAAACAAGTATTGAAAATATAAAAAGTAGTGAAAAATTATGACGTATGTACGATTTGAATAATGAAGTTTAGTTACAAGGATTGCCTTGTTTAAAAATATTGTTACATTTCTCGCACATATTTCAGGTCGCCTAGTGAAGAACTTTTAGTATTAAAGAAGATTGGCAACTTTTTAACTATATATTGGAAAAGTATTTTTCGGATAATTTGGCCCCTAATACTTTTATCGATCTTCATTGAAAATGAAAACTCACCAGTAATATACCAAATTAATATCTATTCTAGTAAATTGAGTTAGGTTAAGTATTGGTTGCATTGTATGTACGCTAAAAATATTCATATCAGGTCATAAAATGTTTTTTTTTTAATTTCTTGTATAATTTTTTATCTTCTACATTTAAATTTATTAAGCTAAGATTCGTGTTCAATTAGTTGTCGGTATAGCTGTTTTTTATACGTTTGTACATGAACTTATAAATAATCAAGAAAACTTTTGTAATTTTAGAAATCAAGATGTGGTTATGTGGTGCTGCTGATGGCCGGGTACTGGGTGACGGAGTGCCTGCCACTGCCAATGACGGCCCTCATGCCCATAGTGTTGTTCCCGTGCCTCAACATTTTGAGCATAAAAGACACTTGCGAGTGTTACATGAATGACCTAGTGATGTACTTCATTGGGAGCCAAATCCTCGCCATCGCCATCGAGCACAGCAAACTCCACCTGCGCGTTGCCCTCAAGGTCATGCAGGTCTTTGGTTACACTCACAAGCGCCTCTTAGCTGGTACCATTTTGGCCACAACATTTTTGTCTATGTGGATGACAAACACCGCGGCCACTGCAGCTATGCTCTCCATCATACTATCCGTTTTGGGTGAATTTGAGAGGGTTTGTATGCCAACAAAGTATCGTTACTAACGACATTGCATGAGTATTAGTTACATCATGTTGATCATCATTTTTTTTATTTTATTTTTATATTAAATTTTCAAATTTCTTTGGTTTGCACAGGAAGGATTTGGACAGGTGTTTTACACGATCGAGGATCCTGAGTCGTCAAACAGGTGATAAATTGGAACCGACAGTCATTTTCTTTTTTAAATATATTCCTTGGTTTAAAGAACCACTTAAACCACTTGTCGACTTAATTGTATTGGTTTTTGAATCTATTATACTTAGTGAACTTATGGCAACGGAACTGACATCAGGCTATCTCATGGCGGCGGCTTATGCAGCGACTTTGGGTGGCACAGCGACACTAGTTGGTACAGCGACAAATTTCGTTTTTAAGGGCATTTTCGAGAATACATTCCCTTGTGGCCCTAAAATTGGATTTACTCAATGGATGAGTCATGGGGTACCCTTGGCTTACTTCACTGCCCTGATAATGTGGCCATGGTTGATATTATTGTGTTTTATTACTACAAACCCAAGATTTTTTTGTACAACGAC